CTCCTCGCCACTGCTGTCACCTGAGCTTCCAGTGAAAGCTCCGGGTCAAGGAGCACTCCCAGGCTGCGGACCTTGGCCCTAAGAGGGAGTGCAACCCCATTCAGGACTAGGTTCAATTCACCCTCTGCGAAGCCCGATCCACCAACCAACAGGACCTCCGTCTTGTCTGGATTGAGCTTCAGTTTATTGGCCCTCATCCAGCCCATTACCTCGGCCAGGCACCAGTTCAGCACAGCCACTTTCTCACCTGGATTGGTGGAAAACGAGAGGTAGAGCTGGGTATCATCAGCGTACTGATGATTCCGCAGCCCACACCTCCTGATGACCTCTCCCAGTGGTTTCATGTAGATGTTGAACAGCAAAGGGGACAAAATGGACCCTGCGGTACTCCATGGCATAACTGCCATGTTGCAGAGCCATAGTCCCCCAGCACCACCTTCTGGAACCGGCCATTGAGATAGGAGTAGAACCACTGCAAAGCAGTGCCTCCGACCCCAATCCCGCTAGCCTATCCAGAAGGATACCATGGTCGATGGTATCGAAAGCCGCTGAGAGGTCCAGGAGAGCCAACAGGGATGCACTCCCCCTGTCCTTCCCCCTGCACAGGTCATCGTACAGGGTGACCAAGGCAAATTCAGTACTGTACCCGGGTCTGAAGCCGGACTGAAATGGGTCTAGATACTCATCTGGCATGAAATGCTTAAGCCAAATGATGGACTGATGTCTTCTTCCCCATGCTAACTGGATGAGTAAATATCAGAGTACTTGAAAACATCTTGACAAATGCATAATGAATTAAACTGAAACTGTTGTCCTTTTTTATGTAAGTCCAATTGTCCTGGTTAGAGGAGAAAATTCTGGCAACACATTATTCCTTCCAGAATAAGCATGTATAAATGAAGAATAGATGCTAGGTAGTTAGATAGGGCCTGTGGGTGGGTGAGTGGATGGTTGGAGGATGTACAGAGAGGTAGTTAGAAAGCAAAGTTGCAGTACACCAATTAAACTAAATGACACAATACGAAATACCTGGAAACATTTTCAGATATACAGTAATATCCCACTTCCCCCTCAATCTTCTTTTAGAACATGATAAATCTACCATTACACACTTCTTCTCCCATGAATTTTAAAAATAAAACTGCTTCTTATGTGGACATTTTTTTCCCAGTAAGGAGCATTATTCAATGTATGGCAATGTATGGTTTCTTGAGATCTTACTCCCAAGAGTCTGGCACACCTGATGAGAAATTGTTAGTCAAACTCCCACAAGGGTCATGTTGTTTCTTTTGTTTTTTAACACACTGATGCAGATAATTGGACATGCCAAACGTTTCTGTCTCCATGAAAAATCAGCATACATGAGTGCTGTTCATGCGAAACATTATTTCATAGCAATTTTTCTAAGACTATGTAAGTACTGTTGGCAAATGTTCTGGTGCCAAAATACTGGAATGCAAAAGTCAGTCAAATATAATACTTTTAGGTAAGAGAATGGGAATACAGTAGAGCCCACTTCTAGACTGTATCCTGATGGACCATATTATAAGTATAATTGAACTGATTCAGAATTAATTGAGAGAATGCTAGGAAAATGCTTGGTTTCAAAAAGGAGATGGAGGAATAGGGATAGAATAAACCCACTGAGAATAGACTAGAGCTGGGTTTCTCTAGGAAAACCAAATGTAATGTTTGTTTACCAGCTGGACATCAAGAGGACAATTATGCCAGCTATCTCTGCTTCAGTACATCCTTGATCTAGAGGAACCAAGAGGCCAAGAACTCTGTTTCACATTCTACTAACTTTGACCACACTTGTCGTCACTTGGACCTCACAGTTACCTTCACAGTTAGGATGTGCCCATTCTGATCAAAAAGGGTAGCATCAGAATTGGTTCCAAATTTAATGCATTGGCCTTTAGAGATGCAAACTTGCTGGAAGTGTTCGTATGAGTGTGGTCAGATGCCTCTGGGGATTTGGGGTTTGAGATAATTTTCCAGACTAACTGGTGCAGAGTGGCATCAGAAAGTTGCCCCATGGGTGAGATTCTGACACCTTTGCCTATAGGAAAAACAGGGAGAACAAGAACAGGCAGAAGAAGATGGGGCAATGCAATCAATCAGTTCCTGTGGTTTCCATTAAGCATTGCTTGCTTTTGTTTATAACAGCCCCATACTTTTGGAAGAGCTCCTGCACTGCATGTTCTCATTTGTTCAACTATTTTCATTTTGTATACTAGTTAAGGTTAGTAAAAATTTAAAGGACATCTGTATACATTATTCAGTTGTTTCCATGTGTTTTAGCATGACTGGATAAAGGTTTTAGAGGAGGAAGTATAACTTAAATAGCACAACTTTCATAAAACAGTCTTGATTTCTCTTTCTCCTGCTATAAATTAATGGATTCAGCATAGGAATAATTATGACATAGATCAAAGCAAAACTGATATCTAAATCAGAAGAAGCATTTTCTCCATCAGTGACCATATCATCCCAATTGAGTTGCTTCTGTCTTTAGCCACTTGCCTTAAATCCTAGTAATGACCCCCTGGATTTCTGCACCATAAGGGGCCGGTTCATCATTTACATCTTCTATTTATGTGCAGCAAAATATTGAATAATCCCTAAGTATCACAGGATGACATCCCAGCAATCTTGATATGACCAGTAAGGTCTCCTCCACTGATCCTATTGGCTGGTTGGGTATATATAAGAGAAGGTGGTATTTGCATGACAATACCATGCCATGAACTTGTCTCAGAAGCTAATGTGCAGCTGGCATAGGTCTTTTAGAACACAGCTTAGGCTTGACATAGCTGAATGTTCTGGTGACCCACCTAAGTGCTGCATTTTGCACCTGCTGAAGCAGACCTAAGAACAGTCCCACTCAGAGTACATTGTGGTAGTTTCATCCTAAGGTTACCAGTGAATGGATTACTGTGGCTAGTTTATCCCTACCCAGGAATGGGCATTGTTGGCATACCAAACGAAGTTGGTAATGGGCAGTCCAAGCCCACAAGGTCACCTGAGCCTCTAGATACAAAATGGGTCCAGAATCACCACCAAATTATATATTTGCTCCTTCATAGGGATCGCAACCCCATTCAGAACAAGCAAAGAGTCCTGGGACCTGGGAACCCCATCCAGAACAAGCAAAGTGTTTTTGGACCTGGGAAGTCTCAAGCCTTGTGGTTTCTGTCTTATCAGGGTTCAGCTTCAGTTTAGCCCTAATCTGAGCCTTAAGTAGATCTGGATACCAGATCAGAACATGCATAGCCTTTCCCATTCAGATCTCACAAAGAAATAAAGCTTCATGTGACCTGGGCACTGTTGACATTCCCCCCGCCCCAATCTCTTGATCACTGCCAATGGCTTCATAGAAATATTCAACAATATTGGGGCAAAATGGTACTCTGTGGTACTCCGCATTCTGTTGTCATGAGCTGAAACACACTACTCCAATATTATTCTCTAAAACTGATCACATAAGTGACTGGGTTCA